GAAAGGGGAATATGGTACTTTTATGGGCAGTAGAGGTTTAGCTGTTTTCTTTCTTGTGTTGTCAGTCTGAAAGTGTTCTGAATGAGAGACAGTTTCTACCGTACTTGGAGAGGCAGGGAAAAGAGTGGTATAGGTCCTAATGCCCTTCTCTTCTTAGGTAACATCAAGACTGGATATTTGAGCTAGATATAGTGGCTCAGGTCTGTAATCCCAACAACCTGAGAGGCTAAAGCAGGAAGATTACAAGTTTAAGGCCAGCCTCACCAATTTAGTAAGGCCCTAAGCCACCTAGTAAGACTCTGTCTCAAAAAATTAAATAGGGCTGAGGATGTGGCTCAATGGTTAAGTTCAATTTCTGGTACCAAAACAAAACAAAATAACAACAACAACAAAGATTGGACATTGAAAGAATAAAAAAGGAAGGAAAGGAGGAAGCTAGCAAGTTCACACTGTGAAACAACTGATCTCTTTTAGAAGATCAGCTTGGCAGGGATGGATGGATTAAAGTGGGGAAAGACAGGAGACAGGAAATCCAATTAGACAACTGCTGCAAAATTTCAGGTACAAAATAAAAAGATGTGGGTTTGAAGTAAGTCAATGAGAATGGAAAAGAACAGGTGAGGGAAAATATTACTAATGTTAAGGAGGTGATATCAGTTGGTTTTGATGATTAGGTGTCAAGGAAAGAGGGAAAAAGAGGATTTGATGATTCTAGGTTTTCACTTTGTGACTAGGGGCATGGTGGGCATCATTCAAGAAAATAAAGAACATAGGTATAGCCAGTTTTGGGTAAAGATAATAATGAGTTCACCTTTGAACATGCTGAATTTCAGATACACTTGGGACTGATACATCTTGAGGCAGTTAAACATACAACCCTGAAGCATAGGCAAGAAGGAAGAACTTAAAATGTATGTGTCTTCTATTTGGAAGGGTTATGTAGAAAACAGAAGTGTTTTTTTTTTTCTCCTTAATTTTACTCTTTTCAGTTGCAGGTGTTTCCCTTTGCTGGCAGGGTTCCTTAAGCCTTGACAATAAAATGGGTGTCCCATTTGTCTACCCTAACAAGATGCTTGTCTAGGCCAATCAACAAAAAGAAAAGACTTATAGTGTCTGATCTGTTCAGCTTCATGTTTCCAAATATCCAGGCTGTACCTACAGAGCTGAGTAGATGAGAAAATCTGACTCATATTTCCTGCAAGTCAGCACAGATATTCATCCTTCCAAATTATTTGAATCTTTGGCCACTCCCAGAGAGTCAAAGCACTGCAACAATTTATGAGCACCTCCTTCATCTGTTACAACTGTTAAAAAGATTTGAAGAAAAAAATTAAAAAAGCTTTTCCAGCCTTGTATCAACCTTACCCCCCAACTCTAAACCCAAACAATGATGTCCTCTCCTTTTATAGAAAGTCTACATTGTCTCAGGATTGGTTCCAAAGTCATCTGTGTTTCACCTTCAGTCCTCATGAGAATCAAATCCTCTGGGCTCCCACAGCAATGAGTTTGTCTGGTGTAGAACTTGTCACAGTCTCACTTTTATTAAAGTTAGATGTCAGGAAGCCTTCTGTCTCTCATATGTGCCTGTTTATCATTGTGCTCCTTCTGTACCCAGCACAATGTTTGGTGCATAAATGCAGACTGAAATGAATTTGTGAAAAGTTATGAAAATATCATCTTACCACTTGAAGAAAGTCAGGAGGCCCACTTGACTGTGGACAATGACAGTTGGTACATTATTTTAAAATAACTTTCTTTTGCAGATAATTTGACAAGTAAAAATTAGAATTTATAAGGAAATATTGAAAGAGGTAAAATTACTAACTTGAGGAGAATGTTGAGAAGTGATAATTTTCAAAGTCGTGAAAAAGTGCTGAGTCAAAGATGACTCCTCAGATGGCCACCAAAGGGCAGAGACAACAGTGGCTTGGACTGCAGCAGTCCTCCTGTCCTTGGTCATTCCTCTCAAGTACCAGGTTTAGAATTTGTCATTGTTAATATGATGGTTCTTACTATTATTCTTGAAAGTTGTTCAGGCAAATTGTCTTTCAAAAAGAATTTAGCCAGATTTGTCTTTTGACCACACTGCTGATCAATTTCCATTTGTGGATTAAATACATTGCAATATCACTCTTAACAACGTTTTACAATGAATACAATTTGGCAACACGTGCTCTACTTGGGACGTATCCAGAGAGTTTCTAAAAGCTCATAAATTTCTGATGGAAGGTTTTTTCACCCCTGAGGAAGCCCTGTAGCACAGATATCAAGGATACTTTAAGGCTCCATGTTTTCATTTACAGATGTGGAAAACATCTGGCATAGCAATTAAGGTACCTAGACTTAACAGGTGGAGAGAACTTGACTATAAAACGTGAGCTTCCAGTACTATAAATGGTTACTGGTCTCATAGTTTTCCCTCATGCAGCACTGGAACTATAATGTTTTAAAATAATTTCTAAGAAAGAGCCAGAGTTCCAGGGGTAAAAGATGACATCATTTCGGGAAGGGCATGGCATGGGACTCAAATTTATAAGCCACATTTTTCTATTTGGCTTATGTCTACATTGTTAGAAGCTTTTGCCCAAGTCACATTTAAGGCTCAAGTTTATTTAGCTGTGACCTTAGTCACAAATGCCTGGGATGTTGAGAGGACTCAGGATATGACAGTTAAAACTAAGAGGTAGAGACTGGGGATGTGGCTCAAGCGGTAACACGCTCGCCTGGCATTCGCGGGGTGTTGGGGTGGATCCTCAGCACCACACGAAAATAAAATAAAGACGTTGTGTCCACCAAAAAAAATAAATAAATAAATATTAAAAAATTCTCTCTCAAAAAAAAAAAACTCAGAGGTACTTAAAAATAAAAAATTCTCCCTATTGCTTTTCTACTGCTTTTAAATAATATTCGCTCAGAAGTGATTTTCTTTGATAAAAATACTTCAAACCAACTTTTGAAGAATTTTGAAAATTTTTAGAATCTCATTCTGTAAGCCATTCTTGCAACTATTTGCCTATAGCATTTTAACTAATATTCTGTAATGTAGGTGAATATTTATATATAAATGTGTATATTTCCAACTGAGTGCTCTTTGTTGCTAGTCAAAAATTTTAATATGCCAAACTAGTCCTCAAAAAATAATTGACTGGGACTGGGATTGTGGCTCAGTGGTAGAGCACTTGCCTAGCACATGTGAGGCACTGGGTTCAATCCAGAACCACATAAAAATAAATAAATAAAAATAAAGATATTGTGTCTATTTACAACTAAAAAGTATTTTTTAAAAAGAATTAAAGATCTAGCAATAATTAAAACCAATAAAAGGCTTAATCTGTTTTTAATGGGGAGGGGATAGGAATTATCAATTTAACATTAAAAACTTTTTTTAAGAGTTTTATTGACGTATAATTGAAATAGAGAACTGCACATATTTAAAGAATGCAATTTTTTTTTTTTTTTTTTTTTGGTACTGGGGATTGAACCCAGGGGTGCTTCACTAATCACATCCCTAGTCCTTTTTATTTTGAGACAGGGTCTGGCTAAGTTGCTGAGGCTGACCTCAAACTTGCAATTTTCCTTCTTAAAATTGCAACTTAATAAGTTTGATATATGTATATACCTGTGAACCCATCACCACAATCAAGGTAGTGAATAATCCATCACCCTCAAAAGTTTCCTTGTGCCCTTTTATATTATAAACCCTCCCTAGCAGTCACTGACTGGCCAATAGCCATGTTCTTCCACTGGAGATAAAAACATTGTAGCTGACATTGGCAGCCAGAAGGGTAAGGAGATTAAACTTTTTGTTTAACACAGTTAAAAATTTTGATCTTCATTCCCTTATAGAATGCTTGGTTATATAAAAGTGACAAAAATTTATCTCCTTCTCTTACTTTTTTCCAATCCATCCTTCACTGAAGAGTGATTTTTAAAATTAAATCTACAGAGTCAGAATCTTTTTTAAATGAAAATTAATAGTGTTAATAAGATATGCATTTATAGCAGTAAATAAAAGGAGGGGCAGATTGTTGTCTGAGCCATTTTAGAGCATACATTTAGAGACTATAGAGTACAGTTTATGATTATGGAACACATTTTTCAGTGTAAAAATTAATTGGTAATATATTAGTATTCTTTATTAGTATTATGGGTAACCATCTGAGCTAAAAACTTACATTAATCCTTATTTCTTGGGTGGTAGTTTCTAAACTTACATGGTTCTTTGAAATCTCCAGCTTAAGTAAAAAAACCTACTGAAACCTATGTACCTATTTTGTGGGTGTGAGGAAAAGACTTGCCAGATACCTTAAAAATTAAAGTCTTATAAAGTAAAATAGTAGTTTAGGAGTTGAGGGTATGGGAGAATGAGAAGTTATAATTCAGTGGATATAAAATTTTAGTTTGGGATGATGAAAATCTTCTGGACATGGACAATGGTGAGGACCACAATGTGAATATACTTAATGCCACTGAACAATACATTTAAAAATGGTTAAAATGGTAAATTTAATTTGTATGTATTTTACCACAATAAAATAAAAGAAATTCATGTCTTGTATTTTATTAGAAAATGCAAAGCTAAGCACTTTTAAAAAAATTAAGCCAGCTGTTGTGGTGCAGGCCTATAATCCCAGTGACTAGGGAAGCTGTGGCAGCAGGATGGCAAGTTCTAGGCCAGCCTCAGCAATTTAGCAAGGCCCTAAGCAACTTAGTGATACCCTGTCTCAAAGTCAAAAACACAAAAGGCTGGGGATATGACTCATTGGGAAAGCACCCCTTGGTTCAATCTCTACTACCAATAAATAAATAAATAAGGAACTACAGTATTGAAAAATTACGTATTAACATTAGTCCATATTCTTTCTCCAAGTAGCACATTGTGCAAAAAATGACTAAGAATGATTGATTTGGATTGTTATTAGCAGTCAATAAAAAAAAATTGATTTGTATAGGCAACTATACATTATACCAACAAGACATACAAAACTTTTAGAAACAAATTATGTAATAATTTTCAGTGAAAATACTGTTTATTGTGCACAAAGTTATGTGATGCTCACATATTTTTTTAACAACAATGAACTGAAGATTAAAATACATAATTTGGCCAACTTGGTGTTGAAGAAGTTCAACCTCAGACTTTTTTTCTTTATTTTCTTAACTTTAAATTCAGTTCTTTGGTCCATATATTGCCTGAAACATAAACACAGATGTCATATTGCAAACATCAGTGTTCCCCACTCCCTTGCTTTGTAATTAAAACCTTTTAATGGCTTTTGCTTGCAATTAGAATAAAACCCAATCTTGTTTCTATTTTCCTAGGCCTTGTAGGACTGAGCCCTCCCTCCCTCTCCAGTCTCAGGCTAGGCTTCTCCATGCCAAAAAGATTTTCCCAGCACCATGAATTCTACTCAGTTCTAACAGCTAAGCTGCTTCCTATTGCAAGTTCTTTACACAGTTCTTTCCTCTGTCCTAAACATTTCCCAGGGCCTTTCTCCCATTATTGGTTCTCTTGTGTCTGATGGGCCTTCCCTTCATCACTCTAGTTTTTAAAACCATCCTGTTATTTACTATTCCAGAATTCTTTTCATAACCTTATGGTATGTTTCCCCTCCAAATGTAAAGTATTCATTTATTATTTGATCTTCTCACACTAGACTACAATTCGCTGAAGGCAGATTTTTTTTGATTCCCTCACCATTGTGTCCCCAATGCTTGACTTTCAGTGAATGTTTGTTGACTGTCTACAATGGAGGAAAGGAGGGAGAAAGTAAAACTGTAGAGTTGGTAAAAAGGATGAACGCCTGTTTTACATAAATTGACTTGAAACAAGAGGGATTTTTAAAGTCCCATTTCTTCCTTCATTTGTCCATGGAATATTATCTAACATTTATTGAGTACTTTTGGGCATTATGCTAAGCAGTTCACATGTACTACAGAATTTAACGCTCAGAGTCATCCTGTAGGGTTTATCGACCTTTATTATACTCATTTTTCAGAGGCAACTTGCCAATAGCCATTAATGGTGGACCATGGTCAGGTTTAAGTACGCCATATCCAATTTATCAATGTAACGGACACCCCTTCAGTCAACAATAGGCGTTTTATCAACGTAGTTTTCGGAGACCCCCCTAAATTCCCCATTTTACCTGGCCTGCTATCTTGGGTCCGAAACCTAGTAGGTGGTTGCTAACCCCTCAGGGGGTTTCCTGCAGAATCTGAGTGCCCTGGGCGGAGAAGCCGCATCTCAGACTGACGCCCCGCGCTCTGGCTAGGCAAGGACTCCTGGGAGTGCCAGGGAGGACGGGCCAGGTCGGTTGGCGCGAGCTGGAGCCTTGCGCCTAGGGGTGGCAAAAGGGGAAGCACTGTATTCCTCACCCACGCCCGCCCGGGGCTCGGGATCTCCCGACTAGAGGGGGAAACCACAGTGCGATTCCCCATTTACACCGCGCGTCACGAGCCAGCACGGCCCGGCCCCACCCACCTTCTCCGCCCCTTTCCAAGAAGGCGCTAGGACCTCCAGACCTCCAACCCGGCCCCCTCCTGCGCCCTCGGGCCAAATTCGGCCTGTGATTGGTGTTCGAGGGCCCGATGCCCGCCCCCGCCCTTTCCGTCACTACCAAGATGGCGCCGGTTGCGGCGGCTGCCGCGGCTGGAGTTGAAGAAGGAGGCGGAGGCAGCCGCGACCGCGAGGGGAGGGGGAGTCCCGTCTGACTGAGACGGCAGGCCTGGGCGGGCGGGGGTGCCGCGCAGGGCGGAGCGCTGGGCTGGGGATGAGCTAAGCGGGCTCAGAGCGCCGCGGTATTCAGCCCCTCGTGTCCCGCCGCCGTGCGTGAGGGATCTGGCGCCGCTCTCTAAGCTCGACCCGCTGCTTGCGCTGGGGCCAGCGGGGAGGTGAGTGAGGGGGCAGCTACGCGGGCAGCGGTGGCTTGTAGAGCTGTCACGGCCCCGAAAGGTGACAGCCGGGGGCGGGGGACTCGGGCGGTGGGACTCGGGAGGCGGCACGGATGGCCGCGACCTCCGCCCCGGCTCCTGGAATCCGGGCCGTCCTCCGTGGGCTCCGTGTGCCCGGAGAAGGCGCGGCGGTGCCGAATGTAGCGCGGGCGCCTCTGCGTCGGACGCGTGGGGGGCTCCGGTGTTTTCATTCCAGATTTTCTATTAGGGGCTGGCCTGGGGCTGTTGTTGTTTGGGTGGTGGGGGCGGGGAGGGGGAGGTCCTGGAGCTGGATTTTGACAAGCTCGTTACGTAAGTCGGAGGTGGCTTCCCGGAATCCCACCTGCTCTGTATTTTAAACACGCGCAGAGGGTGAGCCTGGGGAGCCCGGGTCCCGCCTTTTCCTCCTGGTGGTCTGCCCAGCTTTCCCCGGCCCGCGGGCGCCGGTTCCGCGTGAGCCCGGCCAGCGTCCAAGTTGGCCAGGTTTTTCAATCTTTTTTTTTTTTTTTTTTTTTTTTTTTTGCGGGGGGGGGGGGGTGGGGTGGGCGATTCGGTTATTATCATTACCTTTAAAGTTTATCGCTTTATGAGGGGAGGAGAAAAAAGAAAAAGGCTTGTGACCTAAAATTGGGTCGCAGAAACAGCTTTTCGTTACCGTGCTTTTAAACGACAGACGTGCCGGACGATTTTTGTTGTTCCAGTGTGCTTTTAATTCAAACGTATGGTTACGCCTAGGAGCCTTAGAGAAGGGTTTTTGTCTTATAGGACAGTTATGTCTTGTTTGCAACAGCAGGACAGGCATCAGGCAACAGGCATGCATTTATTTGAGGAGAAAACGCGTGTCAGCCAGTTAGAGACTCCTGAGGGCAGAAATTGTATTAGTCTGTGAATATGTTATTCTTTAAAATGTATTATACATTAATGAAAAGAATAACCCTAGTATAAAAGAAGCAATCTCATAAAATTACAAGCTCTTATTTGGTGTGTATATAGCCTCATTCTGATTTTGGCCTACCCTCTTCCACCTCTTCCCTCCTTGGGGAAAGGAGACTGAGACACCTGTAAACAGTGTAGCCCAGGTTACAGTAATCTATTGTAGTGCATTTAAGATTATTATAAAAAGTAGTCTCTGGGGGATATAACATTGAATAATAAGAACTCTTGGGTAAGTTAATTCAGTTTATGTTATAGTAGTTCTGGGATTCTGCTTCTGAAAATTAAAAAGTATACAGAATTCTGAGCTATTTGAACCCTGTTTGAACTTCTAATGAAAGACTGTATTTGGCCTCTTTTATGGGAACTTTGTTTTGGGGAGAAGTAAACATTTTTGGGTAATTTTTAATTCATTTTTACAATTTCCCTTTGAGTCAGAGTTCTCAGTAAGGAGTCCAGAGTAGTATATCAGTATCTGTGATATATGTTACATAATTTTCTTTTTCTGAATGATTAAACACAGACCTACTTCACTGTGGGATTTTATAAGAATGCACTTATTAGAGAAGTTGATTATCTTGACACCAGCCCAATATTGTGAACAAATGAATAAAATTTGCCTTGAGTTTTAAACTGTGTACACAATTTTACATTTTTAAAAATTGGTGAAGCACAGTATAAATTTTCTGTTCATTTAGGAGAGGAAGGAAGCTGATGTGATTTGTTTTGAACTTTTCCACATGAATTACCACTGGCTTAAATAGTTATTGATTCTTAAGTTTCTGGAACTATTGTCCTGTTTCTGACAACCTAAATAATATTTAGTATAATTGGAAGGATATTTTTTAAAAAGGAACATTTATTAATTCATTAAAAAATAATAAAAATTATGGCAGAGTATTAGGAAAAAACTTATTTTCCTGTTTTGTGATTATTGGTTATGTTATCTTTTATTGTTTGCAGAATTTTTCCAAGCATCATGCTTATTTCAGAAACAGAAATGTTCATTATATTATAATCTTGTGCTTTCTTACTTAAAAGCTCATTCTAAGTGGAAAATGTAAGTTGTTCTAGCAGGAAAATTGACTTGCTATTCTTCTCTAATGTCAGAGACTTTGTGGGACTTTTCTCTTTCAAATCAGAGGTAGAAGAAGAGAATGGCTAAAGTTAAAAATAGTGAATTTTTTTCCTTTCTTATTTGTCTATTTTTTAGTGCCCTAGATTGATTGTTTATTGTCCAGGAGAACTTATGGTAGGGGTTTTTATGGGAGCCTAGTCACATTTACCATAATTTTACTTTGAATTCTAAAAGGCCAGTGTAGCACTTTACATTTAATAACCTATTAATTTACATAGGGTGTTATTATAATAGCAAAAAAATTGAACAGTCAAAATATAGTATGGAAATGGTGAAATTTAAGATAATCTATGTGGTGGATCTGGCTACTAGATATCATTTTAAAAAACATTTACTGACATGAAAAAGTACAATGTTGAGAGGAAAATCATAATATAAAGAAATATAATACTGTTATTTATAACATACCACATGTAAATGTCTAAAAGGCTTGGCAGGAAATACATAAAATATTCACAGTTATTGTCTCTGGGATGACAGGATTAAGGGTAATTTTGCTGTTAATATTTTTTTCTCACTTCTGAACAATTATTACTTTTGGGGTGGGGGGCAGGTACCAGGGATTGAACTCAGGGGCACTCAACTACTGAGCCACATGGCCAGCCCTATTTTGTATTTTATTCAGCGACAGGGTCTCACTGAGTTGCTTAGCGCCTTGCTGTTGCTGAGGCTGGCTTTGAACTCCTGCCTCATCCTACCAAGCAGAGCCGCTGGGATTACAGGCCTGCACCACTGTGCTTGGCCAATTATTACTTTTATAATTACAAAATGACATTAGAATATTTTTTTAAGGGTTATGAGGGGAAATACTGAAATTCCAAATAACCATTGTTCCAACAAGGAAACTATCTTATGATTCATTGGTAGCAGAATCAACCCAAAATATGGTGTGTATTTGCAGTACACAATACTAGAAACAGGTGATAATTTAGATAAAGGCATTGCTCTAATTACCAGTACCAACATTGTTTTAAGTTTTACATATGTAGATGTTTTGCACTATTTGCACATTGCTTTTCTCCAACCTTTTCTGTTTGCTTCCTACACCAAACTGTTCTTGTTGACAGTGCCACCTATTGATGAACTTCTCTTCCCAGTCTTTCCTCATTACTTCATCAGTTATTAGGCAATGGTTTTGGGATGTTTATGAGATCCCAATATTTTGCTAGTGACTGAGGATACAAAGGTGAATGAAACATGATTTTAGCCTTCAAACTTTGCCTGAGAATGCTTTTTTTCTTTATGAGCCATCAGCACACAATGAATACTCTGCTTTTCCAGTTTCACTGCTAATATTAAGGTAGTAGCTTTTCCTGGTGTTCATATCTTCTAGTAACTTCCTTAGTGGGAAAATGTTTTGAGTTCCCAGACAACCAATATAAAAATGAATTTTTGAAACATTACTTGACTTTATGTTGGGGAATCTTGTATTCTGAAAGGCTGTATTTATATTTATCTATGGTTGTTCTTGTTATTTTTTTAAATGTGTGAGACTTTCTTGGTTCCTTTTTCTTACTTCCTTCAGTTGAAAATCATAAACAAGAGAAGAAATAAAAGAGACAAAGTATCCAGAAAAAAGAAAGATATCATGGGAGTTTTTCTATTAGTGCTACCCTTTATTTTCACTAAAAATAGTGAGTCATCAAAATGAATAAGTATACTAAGTAAGAGATAACAATTTCTGGGTCACTTTGCTAAAGTTTTCCCCTTTTGATCAGTATAAAAATTCATTTTCCATATTTATGTTAAAAGTTTATATGCCTATGTAAACTCACAGTTTAACTATTTTTGTTTTTGAGTAAAAGCTGCAGTACTGAGGAGTGAACCCAAGGGTGTTCTACCGCTAAGCTACATCCCCAGACCTTTTAATTTTGTACAGGATTCCTCTTAAGTTCCCAAGGTTGGCCTCAATCTTGTGATCCTCCTGCCTGAGCCTTCCAAGTAGCAGGGATTACAGGCATGGACCACTGTGCCCCGCTTAAATTCCTTAAATTTGTTTTTGTTTTTATTGTAATATTGTTTTGTAGATGAGACATTTTTATTTTTGAAAAACTTTAAAGTAAATTACCAAAATATGTAGTATACACCCATACCCACATATAAAAATGTTAACATTTTCATTTTGGCTTCAGATACATTTTAATATAAAAAGATCTATGTCATAGTCACCACACTGAATTCTAAAATAGCAGTGTAGAACTTTATACTTCAGTGAAGTTAGACTTTCTTCCCAGTTTCATCTCTCTCCTTCTTCCCTCCCAGTTCATAAACTACATGTATGAACAATATATGGCATTGCTTTGGGTGCTTTTAAAAAGTATTGGCTTTGGAACCATACTTCCTTGTTTTAAATCTTGACTCTGCTACTTAAAAGTTTCATGATATTAGATAAGTTATTTAATCTTTACATGCTGCAATGTCTTCATCTATCAAATAGGGGTAACAGAATTGTCAATTTCATAAGTTTGTT